CGAGGTCCCCCGTTCAGCTGGTCCGCCCGTGAAAAGTCTTCGATTCGATTCCTGTGATTTCTCTGCCGTAAAGGCGAACACCCCCCATGCCGGGTGGGTTCGTCTTGGAGAGGTTCCCCACTTCGATGATTCGAAAGAATTCTCTCAGCCCTTGCTGAGTGGACTCAGTGGCTTTCAACATAGCGGCAAGAGGCACTTGGACTCTGGCCACTTGGCGAGGCCAATTTTGGGCCACACCAAACAGCCATCAGCGGCTTACGCGCTGCCTTTTGTTGGTGTGGATTCGAAGATCGGGAGAGCTTCCTTTTCATGAGCACCCCCCGTCCAACGAGTTCACCTTGGTTCATGCATGGAGCGTCCCCGAGTCACCGCCTTTGGCGGGGGCAATCTTGAGGAGATGCCAACTCCAAGGAGTAACATGTATATCAAAGGAATGTATTTACTGTATGTTGGAGTTCCTATACCGCCAGGTCCAACTCCTTGAAATCAGGATCCAACTTCTCAACTCCTCTTCGTTGGTATGGGTCTTCCATAACTTTCCAATACACAGAGACCCATGGAGAATACACATCCAACTTTACAAAACCTGACTATGTCTTGGAATACACATTCTAAAAGAAGTCGTGGGTCTCGCTATGTATTTTTCTCTTTGAAATGTTCACATGTTCTCATAAATTGTCATATAAGGCCAACAACACCAACGACCAACTTCAAACTTCATTGTGCCTCCCTTTTCGAACACACATCCAACTCCTTTAGAATTTTCACGACTGCTCTCATTCTCTGGCTTCGCCAACAGCGCCAAAGTCGGCGCCTTGTTGGGGCCCAGAGAAGGCATAGCCACCTCAGTGATGGGAGAGCTGCGGTGGTTGGAAGAAGAGCAACTTGTCTCCAGCACCACCCAAAAACTGAGTGGTTTAGAGATGTTTATAGACCCCCCGACGACGTATTGTCCATCCAATAACCACCCGTCTTATGGGTGGCGCTGGATAATGCATGAAATGCCGTTCCTTAAGAGTTCATATAATCCATAATGTCTGGACGGTTTTATCAAGCAATATTCTACATTAGTATTCCCCAAATAGAGATGACTTTCAATCTTTCATTAATGTGATCACTCTAGTCTAGTAATTAACCACATCTGAAAAGCACTACAGTCTAGTACTTTAGTCTAGTCTAGTGATCACTCTAGTCTAGTCTTTCAAATGCATATATTTCACAAATCTGACAATTCAGCTGTAGCACCAGACCGACCCACCGAGAAAAAACTGGACTTCATGTTGCGATGATGCGAGAAATCCTTCCCCACGCCATCCGTCATCCATGTTCCTGCCATCCGTCATCCTCTGGAAAGCAGGACATGACCCTGAAAAGTGCCAAAACTAGAAGGATAGGATATGCACTCGCTGCTTCCAAGGGCTGGCTGGACAACCTTTTCACTACTGTGGACGGTCTGAAGCGACCGCTTACGAACCCATTTCCAACGTAGCACCACCCTGGCAGGATGGATCATTTTGGAGGTGCTGTCCAAGAGCCAGGAAAACCATATAATTATGACTTTCCTTTCAGCCTCAAGCCTAACTGCACAAATGCATATCAACATGTTGTAAATGCATATCAAAAATGCATATTGGCCTCCCTAGGCAAATGCATATTACCTTGACACTTGTTTTTGCAAATATATGCATTTGTGCTCCAAAAAAAATATGCAGAAAATATGCATTTTCTCTAGGAAAAATGCATATTTTCTGCATTTTCAGCATATTGGCCTCCCCAGGAAAATACATATTTCCTTGACACCTGCTTTTACAAATATATGCATTTTTGGCTCCCCAAAGATATGCAGAAAATATGCCTTTTCCCTAGGTAAAGTGCTTATTTTCTGCAAATTTTCTGCATATTGGCCTCCCCAGGAAAATGCATATTACCTTGACACCTGTTTTTTGCAAATATATGCATTTTTGGTGCATATGGCATATAACTTCCCCAGTTTCAGGGATTGACCCAGTTCGGGAGAATAGACATCACCCGACCCTAAGCAGCGAAACCAAGTCATGGATGGCAAACTTATAATATTTTTTTTTTTGGGGGGGGGGTCATAAACCACCCAGTCATGGGTACTGCTGGAACAACCTTTACTGTCAGCATCTTCATCTGTCCTTCGGAAACTGCCGGAAACCGCCAGGGTACGACGTCGAATGACTGGCACGACCTTGGTGAGATCTTCCTGGGCTAGAGCTTCCATGAGAAGCTCGACCATCTTCTCGTCTCCCAATTGCCGGGCGACCTGTGGCCGATGCCCAGGGCACGCGTGACCTATCTGGAACCGGACTAGCGAGAAATGGTGAGGGGGTGGTTGATTTCAGGCATATGTCTGCAGGGCGGCATACATTCCAGTCCCAGACAGGGCGTGTCTGGGAATGGCTGAATTCCTGAACATCTCCCTTCTAAGTATAAGAATTGTCTTTAGAAGCTTTTCCTGGCATATTGTCTCTCAAACGGCACCCTTCACAGCAGAACAGTAAGTAGAACACTATCGGTATTATACCATTTGGTAGGGAGTGAGGACTACAATGTCGGACGGTTTTTCCCCTGCTGGAAGCCCCTGCTGGTCTGCTTTGGGCGGCCAAGGCGCCAAGCAAGTCGAACCCTTCAAACACCGACCGTCCATGGATGTCGAGGGCCACTCCCGAGTGGCCTGGCCAGGGGTGGTTGATGTCAGGGGTCCATGGGTTGCTTTTTAACTGACATCAACCACCCAATCCCAAGGATTGAGAGACCTCAATCCCTCCTCAACGGAATCGGAACCTTGAGCTGCAGACCTCCCGAGTCACAGTCCAAGCTGCTTCAATGGGAAAGACGGGTTCCATGCGAACCTTTCCTCAGTACAAATTTGACAAACGGTCTCAAGGACCTGGAACACCTGCTTCCGATCTGGCTTCCGATCGGAACACTGCCAGGGTAGCACCAAACAAAGAGTCCTGATCGGTCACAAGAACCATTGGTATGTCACACTAGTGGTCTGGACTATGCCTATCTGGGATCTGGCCCATGCGTTTGCGACGTTTCAAGACTGAACTTAGAAGGTCATCGCGTTCCTCATGTAGAATGTCCTATCTAACTTCACCATCCTGTCTGAGTGTCCTGTCGATTCTCAAGAAGCGAGACGGGTACCCCTGTCCCATCCATGACGCCTAAACCCCATCCGAGATCGACCGCAAAGAGACAAAGAGATCGACTGCAAAGAGATCGGTCACACGAAAGGAAGAACCTAATGATTAGTGATCATATGATGTAAACCATACGATCACTCTTAGTAAAACATATGAGGTCATTGATTAGTGATCATATGCTTAAATTTTACTATGTTTTACTATTGGGGGGCTTGAGGTTGAGCAAACATCCGCTGGATATGCTGATGTTTCTGCGGAAGGAACTCCTTCACAGGAATCCAGATGTTGATCTCCAAGCGGAGCTGGTCGCGGTATTTCGTTCAAATTCAAACCGCCTGGTCGCGATAGATCTGGTCTTATTGGATAATCTTGTTCTAGCTGTGCTGGTGACATGGTATCTGAGATGCCGCCAGGTACCTTGCCTCTGCAATCAGCGTTTGGGCAAGAGAAAAGGCATGCTAGCTGGACGCAAATAACCGTCAGATTTGCTAAAAGAATACTTTTGCCTGCTGGAGTCGCTGGAGTAACAATTGTTGTTTTACAGGGCCCCCAGGTACCCTTGCAGGTTCACATTCACAAACACGCAGCTGGTTTTTGTGCACTCTTAAGGATAGTTCCCTAGTAGCCCTAGTATCTCAAAGGTGCAGTGACTGGAAGGCTGGGGAAAACGATCCAAAGTAGACTGTAGAGGTAAAATGCAATGCCAAGATTCGGTAGATTCCGCTCAAGTCCCTCGAGCCACTCACTGCTGAGAAGCCATGCCGCTGCAGGAAGCTCTCCACTTGCCGTGACACCCGAGCCGCCCGAGAGGACTGCGGCGAGCGGTCCGAGTGGTCCGAGTGGTCCATGGCTTTGAGCTTGGTTTCGATGCGCGGGCGTCAAATGAAGACCGAAAGCAGGTTCAAATCCAAGTCCAGCTCTCAACTTGAGCATTTGCAATTGATCTGTCTGATCTGCAACAACACACACTGCACACCTCTGTAGCAAGCGCTTGAGTCAAAATCCTGTGGATTGGCAAGAGGATGAATGCATCATGCAATACCAACAGCTGAGGTATGGGGGGGTGCTGCACAAAACGTCCCTTCATCGTGAATTCTCCCCTCGTTCCTGGCGCCCAAAACACACGATCGAAACGGCAACCGGAGGACCAAAACTCACCAGGAACTGCTCGGTGAACTTCCACTCCACCGGAATTGAGACATTCCCAAAAGTTCAGTGACCTGATCCACGTACTTCCTACCTAGAGAAGCAAAACACTAACGTCTTCTTGGTATCTTGCTTCCCTAGGTATGATCCAACTCCTGATTCAGCGGGATTGGACGGTGTTTTGCTGGTGGGGCGCCGATCCGGACCGCCCCCGGACGACGTTTGTTGGGCGGGCACTGGCGAACCGATGCGTGGCACGCCGCCAGTGGTCATGACATCACGTTGTCAGGTGTCCAACATCCGAAAAGCGCTGCTCCAAAAACCTCCAAGTTTCAAGTGCGTGGATCGGAGTCTGATTTTGGAACTTCTAAGGTCGGATGTGGGATGGCCGTCTCGAGACTGGACCAGGTAGCACCCCGCGGCCTCGATCCGATTCCGCGGCGGAACAAAGCAGTGATGTCGAGAAACCAAACAGAACCGCATCTTCCGTGAGTCGTGGAAAGGAAGAAAGACCAAATCCCCCAAAAGAATGATCATCTTAGAGTCACAGAGGTTGAGGCAACAGCTATGGGCTATGGGCCCTATCAGGTCCTATCCAAATGGCCCAGAAGGGTCCCAGCTCCGGCCTCTCCACCGTTTTCTGGAACCTCGGATCCCGGTTCGACCGCAGTTCGACCACGCCTCACTATCCTCTTTGGTGAAGTGAAAATAGGCGATCCGCTTCTTGTTGAGACCTCGAACCGGCCAAGTCGAAGAACCAAACGAAGCGAACACAGAGAGTCTACAGGACCTCGCTCCGCTGCGAGAGTCGAAGCTGGAGAAGGGGGGTCACAACCTCACAAACCTGATCGACACAGGACGTGCCCAATATCGGGAACACAGCAACCTCGCAGGACTGTTTTTCAGAACCCCTGTCAGTGAATTCTCTGGTGAAACCTCTGGAAGTTGTCAGAAGACCCGTTTGGGCACAAGAACTAGGTCCAACTGGTCAAGTTTCTTGCAAAGACCAGCTGGAATTTCAAGATCTTCCACAGGTGACCTTTTGATTTGGAGTAGGGGATGGATTATCATGATGAATCTGACAGGCACCACATGGATGAGAATAGTTGGTCCAGATCTGTCTTTGAAAGATTTATCATGCAGCTCTGTTGATGAGGATAGTGGGAAGGGATCAAATGTTATTTCGTTACCCCATCGATCAATGGGCTTATAGTCATATATGCCTCGACCTAGTTGGCCACATGTTTAAACCAAACAACACATACTCCCCAGAAGGGGACTAACTCATTTGCCAAATAGACGACCGAACTGGCGGGCCGCTTCGCGGCCGTGAAAGGTCTCATCAACGGGATCGTTCGGGACCGGTCACGAACGAAAGAACCAGGCTAAGCGGTTGAGCAAAACCAACATGACTGTGGGTCAAAACCCGGGCGCCACAGCCACCTGGGGTTGCCTGAAAAGCTCACCACTTAACCAATCAAAGCTTTAGACCAAGTCGGATGTATTGGGCAGGGCGCCAGCCCTGTGCCATGCCTGCGGCCTCTGGTCGGGGAAAGAAACAGACTGCTAGATGATGGTCCAAAAACCAACTGAGAACTATTTCCGGTGTTTTTTTCCCGAAATGGTCTGTTCAACTTTGGATTTGATTGATTGTTCTCTGTTCTCCCATGTCCAACCACTAGCGAGGCCCAAGTATAACCTAGACATTCGTACACGAAGAAGTCAATCATGCGAAAACAATGGCGGTCAAACGACCCTGGCGTTCTGAACGTAAGGTACTAAACGGTTTGCTCTGTCAGGGTCCCCGTCAGGAGAAATCCTCGCCCATCCTCGCTGAGCTCCGCGCCAATGTCCCACCGCACCACGACCTGAAAAACCGGATGCGCCGCTGCGGTGGAGAATGTTTTGAAGCAACGACTTCCTAGAACCATCCAAGAAAACATCATGGGTTTCTACCAGCACCACGGAAAGGGTGGTTATTGGATGGAACATACATAGTGAGGGATGTCCATAAACCACCCTTTTCGGTGGTGCTGCTAGATGTTCATATATGATCTATTTCCGGACAGGATAAGAGCATGCATTGATTAACAAACTATCAGCCCGAGAAGAAGAAACCCCAAGTTCCGGACCTACGAGTAGCTGCTACTTGTTGGTCTATTGGCTCGTCCGGTCCGGTCGTGTTCACCTGAAGGCTGTCGTTGTGGAACTTCTACATCATATGGTGTCGAAAACGATAACCGGTGCTTTCGCTTGGATTTGGTTGGGGGCCTCCAAAACAAACAGAAACAACGACAAATGTCTGATTGTTTGCAAACCAAATTCCAATACGGGATGCAGGTTCACCAACAGGTTTGTGTCGCATCCTGTGTGCCATACCCAGCCTCATCAGGCGCTTGTCGAATAATACGGACCGAGTGTTGGCAGGATGATGGTCAGATTAATAACTCTATAATTGATAGTTTCTGGTAGTACTCATGGAAGAATTACCTTCTTGTCCAGTTTCATTTGGAAAGGACCTGCACCTTCCCAAATACTTCTAAGTCACCCCTTCTGAGTATGCCAGCGGTAAAAAAGAACAGGTGAGTCACTGCTCAGCTCAGGTAGGCTGGGCTGGTTGATACTGTTCAGGGATGGTGGCAAGAATAAATTGCCTCAGTCATCCTCACTAGCATATGGTACATGTAAAAGATGTTCCCAAGGCACTATTTACGATCAAATCTTCTATCGTCTATCTCAATGGATCTTGCAGTGCACACCTCTCTATGTTGGTCCGGTCTGCACCCAACAACACCTGAGCCAAGGAGCATTCTCTTGCGACTGCGACTCCTTGACTTTCTTGTCGTAGTCTGCCTGGATGTCCACCGGCAGGGAGGGAGTTCGAACGCCAGAAGACGGAACTTCACCGGTTGACACGGACGGTTGACACGTAAGGACAAGGGTTCCATTGAACGACGCCATGTCTCGGCAACGTGTCGTTCAACTCTCGGTGGTGCCATGTAACGCCGCACCGAGACGCACCGAGTAACGCCTGCCTCTTCAGGAACGGACCATCAGTTCCAGGAAAAAGACCAAAACATCGGGACAAAGCCGTACAGCAAAACGAGTTGTGTGACACCATGACCTGAGACCTGAGACCATCGGCCGGAGACTTGGACTTATGGGCGGACAAGCGCCTCAGCCTGTCACCACCAAAACACGGGGTCTTTGGGGATGGCGCAGGAACGCCAAAACATGGGGGATAGAAGGAAATGGTCAAGTTGGGTTTTCATGGTAACACTTTTCGTGGGGAGGTATCCACTTGTGTCCACTCACTTCTATAGTGAATATTATATATCTTTGCCCCATAAGACTTGCCTTGTGATCGCTGATGTCCTGTTCTTTATTACAGCCGATCCACCCACCGAAATGGAAAAAGCAAAAACTAAGGTACTTGTGGGGCGTAAACCTCAGGCACTGAGGACGGCTTTCCATTTGGTTTACAAAGGCTTTCGACAGGAGTTCGATTCAATCTTCCGAAACTGGTTACGGCAGGTTTGTGCATAGCTCGGCTTGCTTTCGTCAAAGTCAAGGTGTTTCATTCATAATGTATATTATAAGAAATTAAATATAGATTGTAAACAAATTGTAAAGAATTTTGTTAATATGATTAAAGAGCAAGGTGTTCTAAACGCTTTGTTGCATGTTGTGTTTGAGCTCAAGCAGCCCTCTTGGTGGTGAGCAAGTTGCCAAAGTGTATATAATCCAGGATAATTCAGGAAATGTCTGAAGCTGCTTCTTGACACCATCCCTCAGATTTGAAACTTTTGCAAACCGTTGGATGCTCCAAAGAAAGCCCTAGGAGCTCGTGAAATGGCACATCTCTTCTGGCAATGCCACAAACTTCTTTTTGCACAGCGGACTCTTGACCAGTCGCCCAGTCGGCGACCTATCGCCAGATCTTGACTGGTGTCCGTGTTCGATGAATCCAGTTTTGTGGGGGAAGTTGTTGGCCCATTCAGCCCAAACCTATTGTTTCCAAGCAGCCGTTTCACACCTCGCCTTTAAGCGTCGCCCCGTCGTCTTTTTTCGCCCGGGTGCCTCCATCTTCACCAAGGGAGCAAAGACATGCTGGTATTGGTAGGCATCCTGCCAAGAGAGGTTAAGAGGCTGGAACCCTATAGTGGTGCTACACACACACACACTCGTGGAAACGGAGCAGTAGAGAGAAGTCCCCCGACTTGCAAAAAATCATCCGTTATAGGGCTCAACCTCTCTAGGTGATCCAAGAACTCAGACGTTAGTCGGTAGTCTGGGAGACATCTTGTTGCCGCTGCTCACCTATCTACTTCCGAAACAGAGTACTACTCGGTGCACCGCGCGCACTTTCTATCCCGAAGTTGGGCCCGAAGTGTTGCTCCAATGAATAAATTTAAGATGGTTAAATATGTTAAATGGTCTGAGGCACAGAAGACCTCATGCACAGCGGGTCCAGGCTGCAGGGTATTTCCTTTGAGGAGGTTCCCAATCTTTGTCCCGGTCCGTATAGGGCTTGCTGAGGTTCCCGATTGGCAAGTGGTGAACGGGAATGTAGCTTCGCCTTCTGCTCCCTGGGTACATCGGGAGGTCTTCGACTCCCGCCTAACCACCGGTTTGCCAACCTTCTCGAAGCTCCTTCCAAGAATTCGCAGGAACCTTGATGACCTTCAATTGGTGCAGTCAGTCAAGCATGTACTTGTGACGTGTCTGCTGCTTGTCCGTAGAATGTTCTGTCTTCGGTGGTCTCCTTGATGGATTCATCTTCGGCCACATCTCCAAATCAGCAGCCATCGAAAACACTGCTAAAAGTGTGTGTGCCAACTTGAAATCCTTGCAACAACCGACTGCGCTGGCGCATGGCTGGCTACACTTCATCTCAACCTCATCCGCACCGCGCGCGCACCGCGCACCGATCCGTCCCAGCGTGGCTGAAGCGGGATTCCTCCTCGGCCTGCCTGTTGGGATGGATTCCTCCTCACCCTCCTCACCCCACTTTGCACGAAATCCTCCGAGTTCCGTGTTGGACATCTGATGAGTAGCGACATGCAGCGGCAGCGTGGGATCCCACCGCGCACTTTCCTCCAGATGGGGCAAGAACTTGCCGCCTTATTGCCCTTGGCGCCAGGGCGACTTTTGCCCGCATTGGGGAATCGGGTTTCCATGAGGAAGTGTTTACTGAAAACTAGCAGTTTCTTGTTCCTAGCAGCGATGGCCTCCAACCTACTTGCGATGGGCTCCACCTAATAGCGCCCTTGCTCTAGCCCAAGAGTGAAATCAATCTCCTCCCAGACCTGTCGAATGTTGCTGCATCAGCTTCGCAGCCAGTCCCTGATCCTGGCTGACCATCTTGCACAGCTGCGGGAGATGCCCCCCCGCTAGTATGATAATTCCTATCGATCTATGGGCGCAATGGGGGCATCTGGTCGCCAACCTGGCCAAATCTAGTCACTAGTGTCACTAGTCCGTTCTCAATATAGACCGCTTGTACTACCTGCACCTGAAGGCCTCTTTGGCCGCTTTTTCCGCCGAGAACTCATGTTCGCGCCCCTTCGCTTCTCCGGGGACAGCGGCAACGCCAAAAAAGGACATGTCCAGGTGCCGAAAGCATCTTCGATCCCAAGAGATCGGCGACGCGGTCCTGTCCCTTTAGGTTTGTCCGTCCGCCAAAGGAAGTACCGTCCGCCCCACGCAGTTGGTCGTGCAAGAATTGGTTCACCTTCTTCTGTGGGGTCATTTAGAGTAGGGAAATCAATGCGAAGGATAGCCACAGCGGCGACCAGCGACCTGACATTGATCCCAGCGGCGGGTGCTATCATCAACCATGTATCCACTTCAATCGTGCGAGTATTTTTCTATCCAAAAGAGGAAGAAATCGCCATCCCCCGCTCATTGCCACTATGTTGATTTACTGTATATAAACTTACTATGGGGACTAGAGTGAAGTTTTTATCAACAGCGTTTGCTCATTTGAGATTCTGTCCCCACGAGCAAACCCTGCCGTCCTCATAACGCAGCATCACTGGCTGCGGGTCATCCTCCATACCTGCATCGGCCAAGAACAAGGATATATCCTAGACCCTACTTAGCCTTGTAATTGGTTTTGTAGCGTAAAATCGAAAGTAAAACCATGGTTGGTCGGGATGGAGGCTTTTAAATGGTGAGCGATTCGTATGTCTAGCAACTTCCGAAACCACTTGCGGAAAGTTGCGATATCCGACTCCACTCGACCTGAAATCGATATCGTTCGAGATCGAACGTCTGACTGGACGAAAAGAAAGCCCTGTGATCTTCGCCCTGGCATCGTCCACGTCCGTGGATCTTGGGCACAGGGGTTGCCATGGATGGAGTGCCTGAAAGACTTGTGACTCGTTCTTCATTCTGGTCCTGAAAATTCTCCGGACCCCTTCACAATGGTCGGTGGGGGAATCGTGAAACCACCAACATATTCCATAACACTTCATTCACTCTACGTACACTCCATACACTCTGCAATTTCTTGAAATACATTGGGGTGGCTGACCTGGGGTGGTTGTAGCTAGCGTCCTTGCTCCTAGTAGTAAGGCCAGGAGCCCCGTTGGTAGCGTCGTTGCTCCTAGTAGAAATGCCAGGAGACCGGACACGGCGGACTCGTAGGTTGCCCAGACTGGGAGAGTCGGACTCGAACGCTGCTCGAGCCGGAAAGCCTGGCCCCTTCTTTGGATCGAGCCACCCTCATTCGGATACAGTCGTCGCACCAGTTCCAGTAAACACCCTGTCATTCGAGCAGTCCAATTGGAAGCACGACGAACGTGTCTGTCAGTGGGTCAAAGTGGTTCTCCCAGCCGCAGTTCTGAAGTATAGAAACATGTCCCTTCCCATCTTGAATCAACAACTCATGTTTGTGATTGTCTCATGCTTGATACATCCCAAGGTAGCTCAAAATGGACCCTCATAGCTAGGGTGAAATGACCCTCACAACTCACAACTGGGGTGAAATGGACCGAAGAAAAACATGTAACGGTTATTTTCAGGTCCATCCTCGAGCCTCTGGGATGACTCCTTGAGCCTGCTGTGGAAAGGAGTTCCAGGTTGGTATTTCAACTCTTGCTCTAGAATAATTCTGCAGAATGCAGGATTTCTCGCCGATCCACAGCAGCGCCCCAATCCTCACCAACCGAATCTTGGCCCTTTCTGATGTGAGTTAAAACACGCGAATTATTAAAGTGTTGAGGTGTAGCTAAGTTGGTAGCTTAAGTTTGGTAGCTTAAGTTGGTAGCCTTAAGTTTAAAGGTGATGGTTCGATGCTTTCAACTGATTGTGTGAGAACAGATGCTATCTTCTGCCAGTGAAAAGCACCGCTCCCCTTATATAAGTGGGTGGGGTCCACTCAGGGTAGTCACATACTGGAATCACTTGAGAGGCAGGTGATTTTTCAAACACACAAAATACCACAAAAAAAAGCATCAAATATCAGCAGATCTATCACTGCTCTTATTCTCACCCCCCGGAAAAATGTGATTTTAACAAGACACACACACACACAAAACACACATTTCAAAAAAGTAAAATAAACTCCCGGTCGACACCTCCCAGAAGCTCCCCCTTAACAGGAGTATGTTTGAAAAAGGGATGCGCCACTGGATGCGCCCCGGCAGCCTGGCCCTGCCTGGCCCCGACTTGCCATCCAAATCTTCGATGGTGGCATCAGGGTTGCTCTTCCACATCCTCAGCGAGACGCAAACGGTCGGGCTGAGAAGATGTCCGGTCCAAAATCGCGGGCATCCACACTTGTTTGTTTTTAGGTTCAGCTGACAACTGGCTGGATTAACCACAAGTTTGTTGTCTTGTATATGAATTTTTTAATATATGATGGATGTAAACCATCCTGGCAGCCTGGCTGGGTGTTCTCCTGGCGAAATCCATCCCGAGCAGTATGGAAGGGCATTCAGTTCGTCTTTCACAGGTCTGCCTCCCTGCTTCAATATATCTGCCACAGGTTTAAAACACTGAACTGTGGAAGCTCCAAGTTTTGAAGAACTTCAGGTCTGTCCACAGGCAGATGGTCACCTGGATGGGTGCACCGGGAGGACCAAACAGCACGGACCATGGGTCCAAGGAACATCGCAGTGACCGAGAATGAGGCCTGAGTTCTGACCGAAGCAACCCAGGGGATCAAGTTCGATCATGAACGGAAGAACCAGGTGGATGAACTCTTAGTTTGGATGACTCTCACCCCCAAAATGGGACCGAATCGGAATGCGAATGAAACGAATGGAAGCGACATCCTAGCCCCTGCGGTTCACGGGGACTCCGGGACACGGTTCACATTTTTGAGACCCTTCCAGCCTTCCATGTTGTGGAGAATTCCGTGGTGGTCCCAAGCCACCTTCTGCCGCATTGAAGGGTGGTACTGGACGTGTACTGAGAGCGTGGCTCTTCGAGCTTATTCACCTGAAGAGCTGGGGCTTTGCCGGACGTGCCTCTTCGTTTTTTTCTCGATTCTGAGAAAGGCAACCCTTGAACCCAAGGCAACTGGAGTGTACCCTTGTAAACGAAATGTGCGTACTTGTACTTCTATAGATATGACATGATATCACTGAGGATCTGGTACGTAGCGACAAAGCGGACCGCCCTGGGGGATAAATTCTTTTGAAACGTAGACAACATGGCATTGCGACAACAGATCCCCTTTGCGGGGGAGGTTTGGTTTTCCCGCTGTGAGTGTCCAAACTGATCTTCTATAGACTAGCTTTCCCTTCGGCTAGAGACTATCAAGAGCTCCAAATACCTCTGTAGCTTTACTTTGCCTCTCAGTTGAGTGGAGATCACATCCTGGTGTTCAAACAATCCTTGATAAGCAACACTATCGTTCGAGTTTTTAGAGGGTTGTCTTGTTCGAGCTAAGCACCATGAGGGTTGTCTTGTACTGCCAACTCAATTCACACCTAGCCCCTATCTGCTCTCCTCACATCCTCAACCTTTCTCGACTCGACCATCCATCCAAGGCAAGCTCCACCCGCTGATGGCCGCCTGAAGTGAAGACACCTGGGATGCCTGAGACCTCTCACCCTGCTAGGGTGAAGGCACTGGCCCAGCACCGACCTAGTCGGCTGGAAACCATCAAACACCTACTACGTATATAAAGCCGGGAAACGGTTGTAAGCCACCGCTACGAAACGTTAGGCTTGCATGGGTTCCTAAAGGCGCCTTCGCCTGCTCAAAAAAAGGGCGACAGTATTCAGCCCCCTGTCCCCCTTGGCGAATCTCGCCAAGCTATTCAGCCCGAGGGAGGCAGGGAGGTATCGAGAACTTGGACCCTTTTTGGGTCCTATGCTCATCTCATGAAACCCAACCACATCCCTCATCACATCCCCCATCATGGGTGCCATGTCCCGCCTGGGCTGCAGTGATATTCCAGGAGCGCATCTGCTCCTAACCGGTCCCACGACGAGGAGTCGGACGCCGGACCGGCAGAGTCCTTACTATTCCAAAGCACCCATGGGACTGGCCTATTTGATCGACTGCGAGACTTACTTGGAGTAGTTTGTACCATCCTATACCATCTATTTACCTCCTATACTAGGACTCCTATACTATCCTTGGGGCGGAATTTCCCCCCGCAGTTAGCCGCTTTTTGGGCAGTACATTCCTTCCAAAAGGCGTATTTTGCTGGCCGCAACAAAAGTCTTCAGGTTAACTGATGTCTCTGTAGAATTGGTCTGGAAAAAAGGATTTCACCAGGGGAGTTTATTTATGTTCAGTTCAGTTCATGGCAAAACTTTGACCAAGTTTTGGACCATGTTTGCTTTCACGGGTGTCTAACCAATAAAGGTCTAATCGGCTCCAATAATTACAGTATGTCAATAGCTTGCTAACCTCCGAGTCTGTGTTGCTTTGACACTGTGGTATATACGGTATTCTTCCTTTGTTGCTCCGGGGTAGGGTGACTTTCACAAGAACTTATCAGGAGGTGATAGCTGAACTACATGGCCACTCCCAGATGGGAACATGTTTCGAGCAACTTGAGCTACCAGTTATCCAGCTGTTGACAGATTGAATCTGGATTGTGGACGTTCAGAACCTGCCCCAAAACACCCCCAAGTAGGGACGTTCTCAATATCCTCCTGCTGTGTTTTGGGTAAAAACCCCTGCTTCCTGCTTGGGCCACCCCTGTGACGGGTTGTGGTAAATGTGACGTGTGTGTAATTATTGGTCAAGACTGACACAAAAACCGATTGTCTTCCACTGGCACAGGAAACTTCCCATAAAACCAACGATTAACCAGACCCATACCCATACCTAAGGCCTCGCGTTAGAATCTGATACAGGATGTATATAACATATGTTCTTCCGTGCCCTACATGTGGCTCACCATACACACCCTGAAAACATGAGCGAACGTGAGAACCACTGGTTTTGTGGAGGAAGCGAGTCTTCCAAAGTTCCATGCCATCAGGTTTCATGTGAATCTTCTTGAGTGAGACGTTGTCATTTCTGCTGCCCGCCTTGGCATCTGGCACCTTCACCAGCCATGGCAGGAAGCTACGATCCTGCCGGTCCAGAAGGGGAGGACACATCCTGGGGTCGTCCTAGGGGAGTGGTCGTCCGAATTCTGGAGACTTCGGCGGATCCACAACTGGTTGGACCGACTGGGTCTCGGTCAGTGAGGCTCAAAACCCGAGCGAAGTGGGTCCTTCCTGAAGCGAAGTGGGTAGCAGTGAAATGCATCAGCTCGGCCCACACTCTCAAAGCTGTTGAGGGCCCCCCAACTTCGCCGAAAATCCGAATCGAAGCCTCCAAGAAACGTCCTCCCACCTTCGTCTTCGAACTGCACGAACGGGACACAAACTGGGAACTTCATTGGAACTTCAATGAAACCAAACATTCAGATCAGTTTCAATTGAAACTGATCTGAAAACTGCTTCATTTCAGTCCAGCTCACGTCACCTCGTTTCAGCACCCGCTCCCAGTTTCTCGCCCATCTTTCTGGGGACCGTCTCCAGGCTCCACCCCGAATCAGCGGCAAACAACAGATCAAAACTATGCAGTAACAGTACTGTTGATTACCCTATAGGGTCCTTCTCAAATAAGAGGCCAAGATTTTGGAAGCATTTCACACTCCACGTTCAAAGACTGAACTCTAGAGTTGGTTGTGTGCAGTTCTAAACAAAAGCCCTGGAGTAAACCCTGCCGCGTTTCTACATGGCCAAACCCAATGGAAGAACTGTGGATCAAAGCTACCAGTATCCCTCTAGTTGTCAGTCTCTTCTTAATGCTTTTGACTCCTGGTTACATCGCTCGCGACTGCACGAACAACCAAAAATTCGTGTAAGGCGTGGAAAACCACCCGTCTTGGAAATCAGAAACAACTCAACATCGTATGTGCTTAAGCATCCTGAAGAAAAGAAACACATTCCCTGCAATTAATAGAGAAGAAAAGTCAGAAGAACCTTTAGAATATTTTAGAATCACGTCGTTGGTTAGGATTTGACCTTCACTACCCAAACAACACCAACAACCAAAAAGAACACAGCACAGCTAAATGGTTGCCTTCTTCAAGACTGAAGGGCTCAATTCTCCGTTGCGCAGGTGAAGAAATGCAAAATGTTCCTAGAAGGGGATCTACGCGTTTGGGTTAGATTATTTTAAAAGAAAAAAAACAGGATGCACTCACTGCATGGGTTTCGAAACGTATCAGAACCATCCCCCGAGCTGGGAATATGGCTTCACCAAGAGTTCGGATCCTTCGTTTTCGCACGTCGCACACGTGGAAGAGCCGTTCGCACCTCACGGATAACACCCCAAAACCAAGCGCGGGTTTCGGCGCGGCACAGATGTGGCACACCGTTTTCGCTTCATGTGGCGCACCGCTCCTCGATCAAGGGCTGCCACTGACCCAAATCCCAGTTGGAGTCCTGTCGCACCGTTCGAGCGACGACGACCGGACTCGCTGGCCAAAGAGATGAAAGCGGGATGAGTAAAAAGTGAAATGGTCCAGTATCAATTGCCCCAGGATGGTCCAGTACATGGGAGGTGGCTGGCACCCTTGAACTTGGATGAGGACTTACCTTTACGCACAGGGAAGTGTCCATCTTGCTGATTCGGAGCATATGTTTGTGCTTGTTGGGCATGTCAAGCAAAGACGAAGCACTGATGGACCTTTGGACCTGGCTGGTTTGGACCTTTGGGTTCGGACCTGGGCAGAAGAAGGGAGGCAACCGAACCTCCAACTGCCGGGCAGATCCACGTCTGCTTTAGTGCCTTAAGCTCAGTGGATCAGTTTTTTCTGAAGGACCTGTCCAACAAGAACAAACCAGAGTCTTTCTCTGGAGCTACACACGATATACTTCGGGAAATAACATAGCCCTCTGATAGAGGAACATCATCTTACATTTGAAGCAGGGTCTCGGTTTGCTTGGGGTGTACAACACCCAAAAAATCCTGGAGAACACCCTCCAATCCTTCCAGACCTAGGAAAGGCAAATGAAAGAGGCTGATATTAGCTTTTCATCGTGAAGTCTGTTACACGGTCCGAGCAATCACGGAATGACATGGTGCAAGCATATTTACAAGACCCAACACCCGACTAAAAAAATGCTTGCCCCAAGCACTTGATTAGGGACTGGAATATAATATAATATAGTATCTGATACATATTATGTATGTATATCCCAAACGCAACAAACAGCCCAACCGGTCTCGGTTCCTGAAAACCTAGGAACTTGAGACCCCACCCCCTCCATCTGAGGGTCCAGGGGATATGTTAAATCTTGTATAACTACTCTTTCACCACCCCAACTGATCTGTAAATATTTGCCATTCACACGGATTGTCGGGGTGCGTTTGGTTTGACATCTCCGGATGTCATACACTCCAAGCACGACTCCAGCGAATCCGGGGCGAGCAGCATCGCCTTGAGGGCGTTGTTTGAGAGGCATACGCGGCAAAGCCTGAGAAACCGATCATGGTTTTGAATGTGGGTTGATGGCTCTAATCAGGGCACCACAGCGTGAACTTGAGCTTGACTTTGAGAAATACAATGCTCAATTGGTGGGTCAGAGCGCTGGATGTTCAATGGCTTAAACATTATATACCCCCTCAGTTTCCCTCAAGAATCAAGAACCCTGTTCCCACCTGTTCATCTTTAGTGAGGACAAAAAGCTTGGAGATTACCCACGTGTCCTGGGTAGGAACATAACACTGCACTACCCACCCGTGGCTTCACAACAGAACAGGTCTTGCTGGCTCTTCAGACACTCCTCTTGTGACTGATGGCCTCTTCCGCGTCCCTCGCTGTAGCTTTGAACCGGTCGCTACTATGTTCCATCTGTGAACTCATGTCTGTTCCGAACTTGCACATTGGAATTCGCGACCGGGACCTTGCTGGGTGACGAAAAAGCGGCCGGTCAACAAGTTGGTGAATTCATCAGGGCTGAACTCATCCGTGGAAGAGGGAGAGAGAGGGAGGAAAGAATACAAACTGATCCCCGACTGAATTAGGGCATCATACATGTGAGTCATAGTGACAGTATGATACTGTCATACATGTATGTGATACATACTATGTTACAGTATGTGAGTCATAGTCATTGTCAAATCAGTTGCTTTTGCAAAGGACACTCACCATTGGAGAAGCATGCACTCCCTTGAAGCCACAAAGAATTCACCCTATCTTGTTTCTGAGCACAGTGACTTCTTTAGATACCAACTCCCCAAAATCATCACCTCTCGAAAACGAAATGGTGTTAAGTGACCTCCAACCAAGCCTTCAAGCTTGGTCGAAGAAATACTAAGAATCAAGAACCCTCGGCCGGTGAAGGTTTGGCTCGGCTCCAAACCTGCTGCGAGGTCTGGGTCAAAAGCATCCAGTTCAGAGGGGTCAATGATGGTTGGGGGAACATCCTTCAGTTGCAAAGCCTCCTAGTCTCTACCAGCCGACTTCACAGGTCTTCAAAGGCAAGTGCCAGATTTGGGAGACGGCCCAGTCAGGGGCGGATGACCTGCTTTTCTCTGCGTACCTCGACCTTCAAGGAAGCACCTCTGCTTCAGCAACATCAGTCATGGACGGGTAGCATTTTGGTCTCGAAATGGAACCAAACAATCCATCATGGATGAGTTTGAATATAAAAATCAACAGGAAACCGTGGATTGAAAACCCCCAAAAGGATGGGGTGTAGATTGTCCCTTCAACCAATTCTGGAAAACGAAACACTTCAAGTTCCGGACCTCCCAGGCCCACCCCACTTGCCATTAACTCGAGAGAATACGGGTCCATAAACTCTACGTCTACGTGTCTGAGTCTGGAATCCATTTACACCTTTTCTTGCACATTGTACACAATCTCTGAAATAAAGTTGGACAGGGTCACCACATCGAGGTTTCTATCAGCCTGGTGATACAATGAAGAAAAACCCATCTCAAACACTCCATGGGACTGGAATATATGCTTACATTGACCCCTCACACCACCCCAATGTGGGTCATATGTCATACATGGAGTGTCTGGGAATCACAGGCCAACGAGTCTCCCAATGGCGTGTTGGGGCCAAAGGGGCAGGACGACGACGGAGTCGCTCTTGGCCGCGATGAAGCCGAGCAAGAAGACGTTCCGCTGGCCTAAGATCCAACTTGAAAAGGGTGCATGTTGGGTGGGAAAGTCTCTCTTGAACGGGAGGAGATATATGCAAAAAGGAAATCATCACGAACATGCGTGAGGCACAAAAGGTTTCATTTTCCGTTTCGATATAGGATATAGATATAGAGGCAAATGTGACAATCGTATGATTGTGCTGGACTGTTATCTGCAATTGATAGATGAAAAGAAAGAATCCTCTGCACCAGGAGGGAGCATCACATCAGCTCCAACCTCCCAGCAGCTGTTCTGCTCTCCCTCTGGGCCGCCCCAACCACAGTTGTAGCACTCTAAAACGATCTCTCCGAGTGGACTCTCCGGATGCAATGAGACCTCGCCAAGCTAAAAAGCAAGCAAACTCTCGAAATCCACAAGAGTCTTGGAGCGGGGGATGAAAGCTCTTCCTGCACGTCTGAGGAACCTCATTGCAGGGGATCCGGGTTGAAAAATAGCACTCAATGAGGTTGGTCCGACCAGGTTTTGCTTGGAACAGGACTGGTCGGGTCTTACAGTTGAGTGCAGGTCAAGAACAGGGTCCTCTTCCCAACAGCCAGAACACACCGCCTAGGGGGGTGGTCAAGAGACAGGATCACTGCCAACTGCTCTGGACAAAATTCCTACACCGGTACCCTTCAAAAATCAGGGACTTCAAAGGCTGGACAAAAACCAACAAGCTTTGTTCTGCTTTCGGTCGATTGTGTCTTTAAGTAAACAACGCTCCATGGGATTTGGTCTGCCCCTCAAAAAGAGAAAACAAGAACGGGACGGGAAAGAACCACGGGCAAGACACGTCAATCGTTGCTGTGTCTGCACAATTGATGCATGATACAACACATACACCTCAATCATCCTTGGGCCCTCTGAAGGCGCAGGTGCGAATCATCCGGGTATTTTTGAGCCGAACGGTCCTTGATTCGGCAGGAATGGGTCTCCAGGGTACTGCTGTGAGTTTCCAGACTCTAGTGCCTTGTATGTCTCCTGTTGAGGCACTGAGGCTTCTCCTCTTGATGTCTGTCTCCTGTGGCATGTGGGGTCTTCCATGAAGGGCGAAGTCAGAAGACAAGACACGTGTTTCCATCGCGTTTCCAGGGAAAGGACACGTTGATCACTCTTGAGCTTCCACTCACCAGTCTCGGATTGTGACGAAGATCTGAGAACGGAGGGGGTGTTTAAATGACAAGCAAACGTGTAGCAAAGAGCAAGCGGCAATACACATGCGTCAAAAATAATCACTGGTATAATCACTGATATCACTATATTGCATGTATATATAATTTGATCAACTTAATTATACAGATGCGCTTCATCAATGTGTGACAATATAGTTCGCCGAATCCCTTAAACACCCTCAAACCCTGGTTTAAAAAAAAAGAAGTTGAAGGCCCTTCTCCATGGTTCTCCCTGTTTGTTCCCCTAAGCAGGTCCCTCTATTCCTGGCCTCTTTCTGCTTGGCTCTCACCAAATGCAGGATAATGCAACCTGCCGCGACCGCGCTCGGTTGCACCGCGTCTCCCGATCGGAGATCCGGGGGGCGATGGTGCGGAGGACGGAAAGGATGGAAACCTTTCAGTGACAAGTCCTAATGGATTTTTGTGAAGAAATGAGAACACATATAGATGTTGCTTCTAGATGAAGGTTACTTATAGATGAACGTCACTAGATTCTAGAGTCCACATATAGATGTTGCTTCTATAGATTCTAGATGAAGGTTAGATGGTCTTCTCCATGTTGAGAAATTTTCTACGTGAGTCGGAAGGTCATCCAGTTGAAAATGGGCCAATTTGAGGAGCAAGAAACTTCCACACATTTCCACACTGTCCAATTCACTCCACCCCCCTCCCAAACAACACCTGCCCCACCAGGGACTTCACCCTCGGTCTCGCGCGTCTCACCGTGACCGGACCGGGAGTCCCAGGCTACTCGGTAGGCCCGGCAAGCGATTGTTGCAGAACCACTTGCCGTCACCGCGGCACCTCGCTGCCGATTGCGAGGATGGAGATGGTCGAGCATGGGATGTGACAAAAGAGCATGGGATGTGGTGGTCTTTGAAGCACACCGAACTTGGCGTTCTTTTGGAAGAACATCTTGCAATACATGTTTCATGCAAGAAAAAACAGTCAGGGACTAAGAACGAAAGGAACACCAAGAATATCAAAAAAATAAGAAACTGTTCTGTTCAAAAGAAAAAAACTACTCGCACCTCAGACGGTCTGTCCTTCAAATGCCAATCTATGTGGAAAACCCCTCACCGTGACCGACAGAGCAGACCTGGCACAAAAAACTTGAGACCTTGCGGGTTAAAGGGAAATATGGATATAGAATTATATGCATGATGAATCATGATGATATAATATATGATAATAGTTGTATCCCTGGCAATCCGTGTATGGCGAAAACGAGTGGTGCGAGAGGGGGTATGCATGTAAGTCTCATATATCCAGCCCCATGAGTCGTGTCTGGGTATGGATACCCCTGATCGCTTCATTGCCCTCTCCATCCAATTCACCCAGCCGCTCTCATTACGACCCAACGAATTACAGCCACAATCGCAACACAGCTCGCTGCGCCCCTCTCAGTTCAAGCGGCTTGATCACACTGCCCGGACTATGAATGCCACAGTACCTCGACCCACTGGCGGGTGTCAAGACCCACATAGCTCGTCCAGTGTTTCGAAACAGATTCAGGTCATCTCTGCCAACTAGGCAGCTAGGCAGCTAGGTTCGTGACCGAGCTGGAGTTATTGGGAGTCCCTGTTCATGACCGCAAAGAGACAAATCCAGTTCGGTCACGAATGGAAGAACCACCTGTTCTTTCTGTGTTGATTTTGTTGGAATCCCGGGGGGGGTTGCTTGATTCGAGGAAGCTTCTCAAGAAGGAAGTGGGTTTAGATGGGTTTAGGGTTCCTTGATCTTCCCCCCCTCAGAATCCTTTAAACAACCCGTTCTTCACTTCACAGTGACCCGGTCTTTCTGGTCGGTCTGTTGGAATACACCGATTTCCGGGACTTCGGTACAGTCGGCCTTGTTAGATCAGACAGTAAATGGTTGTTCCAATATGGCGCCAGCTTGAAATCCTTTACGGAAATGGCTGGGACTGGGGAAACATCCATTTGTTTCTGGTTGTGTGGTTTCCCAGGTAGTTATATAGTCTTTGGACTTATAAGGATCTGTATCATCAAGGCGTTGTGATGCTTTTCATGAATTTGAGACAAAGCCGATCAGGCCTGTGTGGGACTGGCATATGTGCCGATCAGGCCAGGAATGGTGGTGGTTTAAGTGGTCTTTCTGGGACGAGCACACATGTTCTCCAGTCCCAGACAGGTTGTGTCTGGGGAGTTAGTACGCTCCACTTCTGGATACCTCAGGTGGTTTCAACTCATGTTCAAGCTGAAGTTTGGAGGTGTGTTTGTTTATTTCTTCTTTGAGCCAGAAACAAGCCAGCGACTCGTCCCTGTTCTAGAGCCAGGCACAAACGACTCTGCGAAGCTGCAAACAACCCATCATGGGCCCTCCACTGGGCCCACCCACCGTACCACCCACCTCAAAATAATATTTTATTATTTTGAGGTGGTTGGAGATATCCGCATCAAATTATTTCTGGACTGTCAGAGTCTGCCAAATAATTTCAAGAATGTAATAACAATTTCCAACATAGATCCGACACGAGACCATCTAGGTGGGACCCACCCCCCCTAAAGTTGACCAAAGTTGACTCAGCTCAGATTACCACGGACAGTGTCATAATGGGTAGTTGAGTAGTCAACCACCCTTCAAATAATCAGAAGTCAAAAGATGCAAAAGAGGCGCCATTTTCTCGCAAGCGGACACGGGTTTCAGTCCCCAGCCGTTGGTTAACATATGTTAACATCTTCGAAAGCAACGTTTTGTTGCCTAGAGCGCGCAAAACCCAAAAGCGCGCAAACCCAAAACTAGAGAACTCACTGATCTTTTTGCTGGATCTTGATGGCAGGCGGGGCCAGGGAATGAATCATGCCAAGGAAACGAAGGAATCTCTGAGGCGAATCACCAAAACGGGGAGCAGCAGACTGGAGGTCGCCATAAATCAAACGCCCCAGCCTAAGAATGCAATGCTCAGATAAAACACGCTTCAACCAAAACACGTTGCCCCACAGAATCAACGCCAAAAAATGAAGCGTGTTCTGCTGAGGAAATCACGGGACCGCTTTCTGCGCCGGGGTTAAGTTTGACTTCGCAAACTTCGCGTTGTAGTATGTCGGCACACGTGCCAACAATTCTTCCCAAGACAAAGTCAAATCGAGCCCATCTGGCATCTTGACCTTCACTTTGTCGTCCACCAAGAGGGTGTGGTGAATGGACTCGAAATCCGTCAGCATTCCTTTCACAATCTTGACAATGTTGCTCCGGCCAACAAGCGTGCTTGGCTTGAGCTCTGACTCCGTTATGTAACAAAGGCCGTTGCCGGTCGTGACGGAGCCCTTGGTCTCAAACGGTGTGCCCTTCTTTGCCGCAAGCTTGAAGGATTCCCAAGCCAGCTCGCTCAAGGTCACTCTCACCTTCATCAAAAAAATATTTTCACAGACCTTGACAACCCAACCACCTGAAAAATAATTTCACAAAGACATAGACAGCAAAAGCGGTCAAACAGCGCTATGTTCAGCCACACTGCATGGTTGCTAGTCTTCACCACCTGAAAGTGCTCAGGCCCAAATTCAAACAGAATGGATCCGTCGGCGGTGTCAACATTGGCGACAGGACTCAAACACCTGGAGGTCACGCGATGTCAGGTATTGTCAAAAAATGTCAAAAAGTAACAAAAGCATCACAAAATCACAGTAGGCCGTTCAAGATCGCGCAACAGTTCAGCAGCGAGTGACAAGACCAAATTGATCCAAGGAGCGTGCCCACAAAGGTCCTATCATTGATCTCCCCAAAAGGCATCAACATCTGCAGGTGCACCCTACTCACAAGGTGCGCCTGCACAGACCCGGAAGCAGCAAGTCTCAGGCCACCAGAATTCTTCTTCTTGGTCCGCTTGGATCGCCAAAGCGACACAGGTGTAGCAAGACGTAGGCCTCCAAAAGAGCCAGCAAACTTCCTGGGACGCCGATATAAGCAGTGAAAAAATCAACTAGGATTGCAAAATAAACCCAAGCAACATCCCCAACAGGAGGAAACATGAGGAAGCATTGGAGATCATGCGAACTGAACCATGCTGAGGCTCAATGGCCGAACGACCAGCAGCTGAAGGTTTTCCCCCACATGGTAATGGCCTATTTGCTTCGCCGCCATTTCCGGAGTGCCTGCTGGGCCTGCAGGTTCGAACTCCTCCGCGATATCAGCAAGAACCCTTTTCGAGAACTCACACCACAGGTTGAAGCGGCTCTGCCTTGCGGCGGAACATTGCCACGCAGCCCTCATCTTGGCTAGCTCATGTTCATAAAGGTTGTGCTTGTTGTCTTTACGCTTGGGTCCCAGGATACTAGCACGCGAGAGAACTCCCTCATGAACTCGGACTCGTGCCACGAAGTTCTGGCAAAAGGGCGTCAACTTCCTGATGCGCCCAAGCATCTTGCTCTCGTGATCCTTTGATGAAGGCTGAAACTGCGAGAGGTGAGCTGCTTCCAGCACATGTCCTAATGAACGGATCGAATCAGGGTTCAACGTATTTTTCTCCTTCTGTGCTACCTCCTCCTCCTCTGATTCAGGGTCTTCATCGTCATCCTTCATCTCAGAGTTCTCGTCACAGCCCACAAATGAGGGATCTTCGCACAACATGCTCAGCTCCTCCTGAATCAAGATGCCCTTCTCTGTGGCTTCCAGGCTGTCAACCACTGCTTTTGATTCTTCACTCAAGCTTTCCTTGCTATCATCAATGGCTTCCTCGTCGCTGCTCTCTTCACCGTTCTCCTCTGCCAAAGTGCCCAAGATCAGCTTCTGCCCAGTCTCCCGCCACCAGGATAAGAGCTCATTTTTGATAATGTCGGCTGCCTTGCTGACAGAGCAGCAGCTTGCAAACAAGCACCTGAGAGTTACAGCCCCTGGGCACAATGCTTTGTGGGTTTACTGCTAGATCAAAGCTTAAAAAAAGCTGTTTCATCAAAATGGCGGGGCACACTTGGTCCAATGCTTTGGAAGGCATCGAATCAAAGTCCACAGACGGAGAATGTTTGCGAGTCGAGGACACCTACCATCTCAATAGGAGAAAATTGTGGATAAGGGCAAAAAATTGCACCAAAAAACATATACAGATAGTTGGAAACAGGGAGAATGGTGGAAGAAAAGGAACATGGCCACCACTAATTATTTGAGAGGGTGGGTGACTACACAACCACCCATTACCTGGGCTTCAATCACAAGGAAACTACCATGTACAACCTCATACAACCTCTATAATGAAATTATTTGAGGGGGTGGGTGACTACACAACCACCCATTAACTGGGCTTCAATCACAGGAAACTACCATGTACAACCTCATACAACCTCTATAATGAAACGATTTGACGGGGTGGGTGACTACACTACCACCCTTTGAATGGTGCCAACAGGAGAAAAAGGTGGAAAAGGAAAGAACAAACAGCTAGGAATCAGTATGGAACAGTGGAAGAGTAAAAGAGATTGGAAACCATGTTCCATTTGGTGTGTTTTTGAAGATTTGTTAAAAAATAGCAAGGTAGAACCGGCGTAAACCAGCATCAGCGGATTAGGGGTTCGGTTCGGTCTAGGCTGGGACTATAGCAAGCAGCAGCCCTATAATTGCATTAACTATTTCAAGCTCAATCACGGAAACTAGGTGGAAAAGGACAGAGTACAACAACAACTCGAAAGGAACAACAATGAACAACAACTTAATAACAAAGCAAGAACATACACACCACCACAAGAACCTGTCGCCTGTGCTGGCTTTCGCTTCTGCCGGAGATGCAGGAGGGACGCCGCTTGCAAAGCTGTGGCTACGGTGGTTGACCCAGTCTCGCGCTTGCACGTCTTTACCCTGCCAAAGAAGTGCTCAATTGAATCTTCCATTGTCAGGCATGGCTCCATCACTGCATCACTTTGCGGGAACGAGTGCATCCGTAGCACCATATGTACTTGCATGCTGAGTACGTTCAACGTCGTCTCCTTTGCAACCAGGTGATTCTGCCATTCGTGGCCACCCAGATCGTGCGCTTGCTTCACCAAAAGAAGTGTCATGTAGTAGCCACACAAAGAGTTCATTGTCATTTCCTCAATGGAAAAGGCTCTGGACGCAACCCAAGACCCGTGGGTAAGCGCCTGCCAAAACCTCAGCAGGAGCTGGCTAATGCTATTTCTGAACTAACTGACGGTTTGCTTCATTGTCTTTGGAAATAGCCAGCAAGAGCCGCGATGGTGAGACTATAATATAGCAAGCAGCAGCTGCCCCTATCTTTGTATTAACTATTTCAAGGGGTGACTACACAACCGCCCATTAGATGGGCTTCAATGGCAGGAAGCTAGGTGGAAAAGGACAGGAGTACAACCTCATACAACCTCTATAATGAAATTATTTGAGGGGGTGGGTGACTACACAACCACCCTTTGAATGGTGCCAACAGGAGAAAAAGGTGGAAAAGGAAAGAACAAACAGCTAGGAAACAGTATGACACAGTGGAAGAGGAAAAGAGATTGGAAAACATGTGCCGATTTGGTGCGTTTTTGAAGATTGTTAAAAAGCGAGGTAGAACCGGCGTAAACCAGCATCAGCGGATTAGGGGTTCGTGTTAGGCTGGGACTATAGCAAGCTGCAGCCCTATATTGCATTAATTATTTCAAGGGGTGGGTGACTACACAACCACCCATTAAATGGGCTTCAATGACAGGAAGCTAGGTGGAAAAGGACAGGAGTACAACCTCATACAACCTCTATAATGAAATTATTTGAGGGGGTGGGTGACTACACAACCACCCTTTGAATGGTGCCAACAGGAGAAAAAGGTGGAAAAGGAAAGAACAAACAGCTAGGAAACAGTATGACACAGTGGAAGAGGAAAAGAGATTGGAAAACATGTGCCGATTTGGTGCGTTTTTGAAGATTGTTAAAAAGCGAGGTAGAACCGGCATAAACCAGCATCAGCGGATTAGCGGATTTTGGGGGTGTGGTGCGCGAAATGCTGTTAGAGGTCTTGAAAAGCACAATCTTTGCATATCATATCTTGGCAATCTTGGCAAGATGCATATAGATGTTTGTCCCCAAGTCAAGGTGGCACGGCGTCACCAAATACTTGGGGTTGAACAGTCCTGAAGCCTCTTTGTCTGATTGCTGGTCTTTGCCACAAAGGTAGATCTCAGGACACCCGCCGGCAGCAGAAGGAGACAAGGTGACGAAGCAACCAAAGATTCTGCAAGTCCTAGATGATGCTCGCACAGCCCGCGCCACTGCCTGCCCAAGCGCACACCATCATACACACCATCATTCAACGTCAAGATATGTCAAGACCATGGAAAACACAGCCGGGGTAAGGACACGCTGCAAATATACAAAATAAAGATTCACAGTGACCGTCATTCCGTGTCTCTCCTTAGCAACATGCTTTGGATCATTGACTCCGAAAACAGGTCGTTTTCCCTTCCACAGAAGCACCTTAGGTGTGCCAACGGGAGGCTTCAACACAAGCCCAACAAACTCAAATCAAGACATTATGAGACATAATGCATACATATGCGTACGCAATAAGGCGTGCAATGCCTTTTTGTAGCTGAGCAGCAGTGAATGGAAACATGGGAATGTGAAGCTTGGCTCCAGGCTTGCAGTCCCTGCAAAGCTTCAACGTTACAACAGAACGCAACACATGAAACAAACCGTTAAAAAAGAGCGATTTAGGAACATGGTGGTGTACGCTGGCATCAATAGACAAAGCAGATCACTGCAGCCCAGCCACTGCCAGAAAGGTACATCCGAGGATTCTGTTGCTGGGAGGACACCCATTAAGGCACGATTGATCTTCACAAAGCTCTTGTGATTGTCCGTGGCCATCGCCAGCGGAGGAACTCCGTGATTGCTCTCAATACCTAACCAAAAAGAATTCAACTATCCGATCCGTTCTCCAACAACCACAGCTGAAATTGGGCCTTGGGATGCCTTGAGACATCTTGAGACCAAAGTAGACAGAACCATCAAAAAGTGCACCGGAAACCCAGATGAACCAAGACAGGGCACAAGATTCAACTACTTCGCCCAAAGAGCGCAGTTCACACGCAGCATCAATCTTCTGGTTTCGTGGAAGCATCTGCACCAAGAACAGGTCAGTGCGCTTGTCCAACCGCTTCACAGCAGTGCAGCATGTGACGGTTGCCAATACCTCCGGCGTCAATATGGCATCTTCATCAGGAAGGACTTTAGCAAAGTCTGGCCATGTACCACCCACAACCATCGCTTGGCCAGGGTTTTGCGCATCCAGGCCGTATACAAGAGACATTGTTTTGCTGAATGCGGTTTCATCTCGGACAATCATGTAGTTGGAAGTGCCCTCTATCTCGGGCCCGAGACAAGCGATAGCTGCGCCGCAAGCGTCGACCAGTTGCTTGTCCACGGCACAAAAGAAGTTGGGCAATCCTATGGAATCGATACCGACCTGAAGGAAGAGAAGAGAAACACATAGGAACAAATGCGTTACTGCAAGTGGTTGAGACTTCATGAGACTTCTTTGGACAACAAGACTCAGCAGCCTTCCCATATTGCGCCACTGCGGTTTTTGTGATTCCAAATGCCTTCTGAAGCATTGGAGAGTTCAAGCCTCACTGTCGCTGGCAGCCCTGCGCTCAATCACACGTTTCACAAAACAGATCAACACATGGAAGGCCATTGAAGGCTGCAACCTTAGTGCTGCCAAATCTCTCCCTCCCAGCAAATAGCCCAATTCCTGGCCAGAAAAATATTTTGCAGGCGGTAAGGGTCTAGACCACCTATTGAATATTTTTTTGGCCCAGTGTCAGACCCAGTCCTGAATTCCTTCTGGGCATATGTGAGCAGAACTTCCAGTGCGTTTGTCCTTTCCTCTCATGATCTTGTTGGATTTTTCTAAGAGGGCAGGTACCAATTGTCTGGCCAATTGGTCTCCTCGAAGACTTCCGTTGACAACCAGCTCTGTTACTCTACCCTCCAGTGACGTGAGCTTCCCCTCCACGATTGCGTTCACGTACCCATTCACCTTCTCCTTCAAATCAGGCGCAATGCCCATCACAACACCTGCACTGAGGTAGTTAAGAGTGCGGCTGAGATATCGCAGCAAACTTTCCCTCATGAGCTTGCGGGGAATGTTTGCGAAGAAGCCCTTGGCGACGGCAACAGCGTCAACATAGGTGATCTTGTGTAGCTGTCGATTCTCCAAGTGCGGGAAACGCTTGACCATCCAAGCAGCCGTTTCCCTCTGCGCTTCCAGGTCATCTTGGAGAGTCTGGTGAACCAAATCTATGAAGCAAATCCTCTCCACCCAAACCATGATTCCATCCAAAATCCTGAGCAAGCCAGCGCAGAATATTGGCAATATATATATATATAATGTGCGTCTCCTAAAAGGCAGGTTTGGCAGCTGGAAATAAGCTAGAGTGCAAAAGGACCCCAAATGAACCCAATCAATCAGGTCGCTTCCTGGAGTCCACTAAGCGAAGGCATTTCTCGCAAGGAGGGCGGCACATGGAACCTGCAGCTTTGCACGCGGTATGCTGGGCCCACAGACAGCCATCGTCACCAACGTCCTTGCTTGCATCCGCCAGTAACTAAGTACACTACAAAAAATATTTTTGAGGTGGCTCAGTAGTCAAGAGCCGCTAAAGAAATATAATTACCTATATGGGCCATATGGGTGGAAACACAAATCCATTAAATTATGTCTACCACGCAGTAAGTGCAAAAGTGATGAATGCCTGCAGTGCCCCCCCAAAAGGGCCACCATTCTTTTTCAAATATGAAATTATTTTTTAGTAACGTTTCGTGCCACAGTTGCGGGCTTACCCAAAAGTGCAAAATAGTGCAAACAACTCCTCGCGCGTGGAGCAATCAAGAAGTGCAAAGTCTGACGTCGAGAATCAAGCTTAATCTGGTCCAAGATTGAAGGTGTGAGTCCGATCATTCCAGAGTCATACCAAAGTTTCAGCTCCTCCAATTTCTGCCCAAGCAAAGAATCACAGCCATGTTCGGACGCTAAGCAAACGCCACAGCACTTCTCGAGCTCAGAATCTGCAGCGGCCGCGAGGCTCCGTCCTCCTAGTGCACGCTGGTGTGCTCTGGATTCCTCATGGGCTTTCCTAGGCTGTATGTCATAGTACAAGCAAGGTGACTGGCATATTTAATTTTGTGGACAAAGACACCTCAACCACCTATCAAATAAATATACAATTGCACAAGTATGTGATGAGTGGCAGGGCCAAGTCGTTTGAAATGTGAGGGAGGTGAATATAGGTTCCACATACCATGCACTGGGCAGGTCTCTTGCCCATCTCCATTTGGATAAAGCCAGGCAAGCTCCGCTTGAAAGCCGATAGCCTACTAGTCGCTTCCTCTGTGCTGAGAAATCTATACATTGATGGCCTCTTCTCCTGCAGGTAATCCATCAGGTTGAATGGCGGCAGCGATCCTGTGGGTGGACGGCCTGCGGATGCCCGCTTTTTGGGAGGAGTGTCGTAAGGCACGAGGCTCAACTCAGTGCTTTCAGCAGCGTGCGAAGCAGGGACCTTGTCACTCTTCACTTTCTTCTTCTTGTCCGGCGTTGGAGCGACGTCTGTACCGTCTATGTGAAAGGTCGCAATTAGTTTCTCACATTGGGGGCACTCAATATCAGTCAGTCCCATCACACCAGTCAAGAAGTCTTTCCAGTGTTTGGAGTTCCCTGCAAAGTCACCTCCCTTGTGGACTTTTTGGAAATCTTCGTTGAAACGAAGCCCCATCTTCTTCAGGTAGCACTTGACTCGCTTCTCCTTTTTCTTGAAAGCGTCTTTCTGCTTTCGCTCATCGATGAGTTGTTGGGCACTGAAGACAATGCTGTCGTCTTGCTCTTGCCCTTCCGCTTCAGCTTCAGGAGGTTCATGTATTGTTGGCAAAGGAACCTTTTCTGCCACCTTTGAAGCAGAAAACGCATCTGAACCAGCAGTTGCTGGTGCTGCCAGGGCCTGTTGAACTGCCTTTGCTGCTACCTTTCTCGGTCTGGAATCCTCAGCGCTACTCTGGGGTGTCGGCCTCTTCTTCGTGCTGGAAGTTGCTGGCGCCTGCTTCTTCACCTCAATCAGGGATCTCGGAATGCTGCCTGAGCACAAACTTTCAACTGCCTCATCACTGACAATATGTTTGGGGACTTCGAGCTTGCTCAAGCAGCAGTCTCTGGCTTTGTCAACGAAGATGCGGTGTAGCAAATACTTCACCGTCAAAGCAGCCCTGTGTCCGCAGGACCAGCTGTCTGTCTGGCTGGGCACGCGTGCCAAGAGCGGCTTTAGCTTGAGGTTCTCACTCTGTTGGGAGGTCACAGCTAAATGCGACTCCAGAAGCAAGCAGGCTGCATCTGCAGCAGCCATGATACCGGATGAGATGGGCTGTTTCCCATCAAATATGACAGGCTGCCAACCATCTGCTTTGCACAAACACATAAGTGATTGATGGTCACTGTCGTGCCTGAGCAAGGGGAATCAGATGGAATCAGAAAAGTAATTCATAGGCGGGTCACTAAAAGAAGGAATACAAAATAAAAAAAGCAAATCAACAGACAGGGTGCAAAAGGACCACCAGCATATCCGGTTGACCGAGCGATGTCCAAAGGAACAGTCTATCCATGACTTGGTAGTCTGTGAATAGGACTTTGCGAGGCCAACATGCTCCAAGAGTCTCTCTGGCAATTCCTACTGATGCATGGATCCACTGACCATAGCTCGATAACTGTCCAAGGTGAAAGGGTTCATGTTCCCAGCCTGAAACGAATTGTTTTGCCCAATCGATAACCCAGTCATCGTCCTCTGAGTCCTTGGACAGATGTATTGCTCCTATCAGCACTCTAGCCCCTGGAGAACAGACCAAAAACAACTTGAATGAGGACTATGTCTCTGATGCTGCTTGAAGGACCATCTACTTTGCGCCACGCTACCTCATCATCTCCTTCGCAGCCACCATTGCTGGCAACATAAGCTTGCACAGCCGTGAACTTGCCACTTTTTGCCACAAAAGTCCACCAGTTCTGCAGGAAAATGCATGAAAATGAATATAAATATTCACGGTTGCTTACAGCATCTTACAGCCACATATGATGCAGCAAAACATCAACAGCTCAGAAAGCATCGACCTCTGGAATGTAGCTGCACTGTTCTTTAGGCGAAAGGTGAATGAAGTCATCCATACCAGCCTGGACAAGGGTGGCCAGTCTGTGTCAAGAGACAATCCCAAACCCACAGGTTTTGTACCTCAAAAGTACACGTGACACCTGCTAAGACGCATATCTTCACCAAACACGACTTGCGACAAGATCAGGTCATGAGCACCTCTGAGTTCTTCATGGTGAAATTCATGAACGCAGCAACTTCTTGAAGAAAACGACGCCAATACAATTTCCTGAAGCTCTGAAAAAAGCCTTTCTGCGTTGACGCATCATTCAAAAGACTTGAAACAGTTGCCTTCCAGCGTCTGATCTTTCCAGGAGCTAGTGTATAGCAACTGGCTGGCTTCCAAATCGCTGATTTCATTGTCCTCTGAGTAAACCTCGGCAAATCTGAGCCAGCTCCAATCACAGGGGGGTAGGGATCACCAAGCACGATTTATAAAAAAATGGTCTCAAGGGCCATCGCTGCACCTATAAAATATATACTCAGCCTAGTGGCCATGTGTGGCAACCTGACACCCTTGCGCAAATCAAAGTCCGCGCACAGAACGTGCAAACACTCCGGGACAGGATTCTCTCCTCCAGCTGTAGAATCAGCTTGGTAACAACAAATGGATCAAATCAAAAATCCATTCTGACAAATGCACGCGCAACCCTCACCCACCTGGCTGCAGTTTGACTCGCTTTGCTGGCGGGGCGTCCTGCTGGTCAACATGCACGATTTGCAACTCTGGCACGGCTAGAAGTTAAAAAGATGAGCGCTGTCTCCAGTGACCAAATTTATTTGGCAACTCTGCAGGGACTAGACCACCGTTCAAATACTGTAAATAAATCTCAATTTCAACTGCTCTCATCATTTCCAACTGGAAAGCCTGACAGGAAAAGGAACTGGTAAACTCCTCCTCAGCCTTTCCACGGCGCAGCGGACCTTGTGGTTTCTGTGACTCCTGGAACAGGCGGAACTTTATATACAAAGAGGAAACGATTAAGAAGAACACATAAGAACACTGTCTGCAGTCAACACACTCCAAACTGCACCGGAAAAGGAATTACTTGGCACCTGTGCGGGGACTATGCCACCGTTCAATTATGTTCAAATACTTCACAAATCTCAGATTCATGAATTCTTTATTGAAAGAACTCCTCCATCTTCGCATGCCGCAGCGGACCTTGTGGCTTCTCTGACTCCTGGCAAAGGTGGAGCTCTAGGTGCAGTCACCACACTCCAAAATAATCTTCACTTTATTGATCCAGCCACCAGGATCCTTAGATTTATTTGACAACTATGCGGGGCCTAGACCACCCTCCAAATAATTGTTCACATCGCATTATCACATGTTTATCCACCTCTAGTTTTGCCATCAAGCTGGGATCATTACACTTACGGAACGCGAAGCGAGTGGACTCCTTCGCCTCAACCGTCTCAACCTTTGCACGCAGCGGCAAATCTTCTGGTTTGCACTTTGGCTCCTGGACAGGTGGGTCTCTACATGGCTCTGTGCAAAAAAAAGCCAGGGGAAATGAACTAGAGGGACTAGACCACCTTCCAAATAATTATGGAATGCTGGAACAGGTGGGGATTTGTGGAAGCAAAAGGATGCAAAAGGAACCAAAAAGAAGAACACCCAATCCAGCCACAAGGATCCTTAGATATATTTGGCAACTGTGCAGGGACTAGACCACTTTTCAAATAATTTGCC